TACATAACCCTCATTCTTTACCAAAAGTACAGATCCCACTCAGGTTTTCTCGACAGTATGCTTCTTTTGGGCTTCTCTGCTCATGGATCTGACCAGCAGTGTCATTCTTCTCCCTCAACCCGGAACCTAAGAATCGTCCCAAGTATTCCCCTCTCTCTCACTCTCACTCACAAATCCCACTGGTCTCAGACTACCAGTGATTGTATCTCCCACATATCTCTCACGTGTGTTCTTTCACCTCCATCAAACTCTACTTATTTCTCTGCTAAATGGTGTAAATCCAGCAGCTTCTTTCACAGCCGTCCGGTCATATCAACTCTCCCCCGTAAATCTTTTAGCTGCTTTCCATCCAGATGTTTCAATTGAAGGTCCAAAGACATCCTTTTTATTCAACACTTTCAGTATGATCCCTTACCCCATACACTGCAGTCACATGGAACCATTTGCATGATTCTGAATGCCACATACTCTCTCACCTTCATGCTATTACAAGACTTCTCGCCTCTCCATCCCCTCTCCATCTGCATGTTTAACTCTTACCAACCCTTCACATTTCAGTTCAAGTGTCTTCTCAGCTATAAAACCCTCTGTTGTATCCCCAGTTTATTTTTAGGAATGAATTGCCTAGGAATATGAATAAATAAACCTAAAGTTTATTTCAACTGCAGACTTATCACATTGTATTGCTGTTAATTATGTAGTTGCACATATCTATGACTATACTCTGATCTCTTACTGGTAGTGACTATTTTTTTTCATCTCTTAAGCTTAGGAGCTTGGAAGGGTATTTGACACATCATAAGATACTAAACAAGTTTTGTTGAAAGACTGAAAATCTAGGAATAGGGTAGGACTACAAATTTTGAATATCACAAATCAAGCCCATTTGTTCATCTCAGACATTAAAAAAGTGTCTTCAGCATTTGCAGCTATGATGGATGATTGCTACTTTATGCATATACATTTTATGCATAGTTTGCTTACTAATACTCTCCTTCTGATGATCTGCCTCATATTTTTGGATATTCTTATCTGTTAGCTCCACATCCTCTATTAGGTGTAAACTTGAATATGGACCCTATTTCCTTTGAAAATGCTTGTAATATCTACTTGAGGAAAGGTCTCATATTTTTCTACCTGTTCAATAAATATTTTAATAGCTGAGTTACCTGTGAGAATGATAAAACTAAGAATATGGTAACATACATTTTCGAGGAGCACATCATTCAACTTTTGATCCTGGGCTTATGCTTTGAACAGTTCTGTAGACATTCTTTTTAAAGACTAAAACAAACCAACATACCAAAAATAAATAAATAAACTGTTTCCCTTTCATTTGCACATAAATATAGTAAAGCTATATTTAGACTTATAACTAGATTTAAAATATTAACTACAAAAAATAGGAAATGGACACTTTTTAAAAATATTAGAGGATACTTTTCTCAGAGGAGTTTTGAACTACAAAAGGAAATAATTATGTGGCCTATATATGGATTTACATAATAAAATGTTATATTGTCAAAGGAATTCATGCTGTCTTCTTGTACATATATTTGTGTTACAAAACTTAAAAATAATATAAGAATGAAGTATTGATATGTAAGCAGACATAACTTTTTGAAATGAATAAATGAAATATAGTTATTACTATCTGCAGGGAAAAGAATGTGCCAGCAATAATGGAAAATTTAGCAACAGTATTTTCTTTGTAAATTTTAACATAGAGGGAAAATAAACAATGTCTATGGCTATCAAATTTTTCTGGAGATGTAAAAAGATGATTTTTCTACACATATATCTGTAATGCATGCTCATTAATGGCATAAAGCCATAAGTAGTCGGGTCTCAAAGGGACTTCAGATCTTCGATTCAAAATATTTAATTTTACAGACAAAGGAAGTGAAGACTGAAAAATCAAGTGCCTTGTGGAAAGCCACACCATTAATTTGAGATTAAGCCTGGCTATAACTCAGGTGTTCTGATAAGCGTCTATTATAAAATATGTATGTAATGTATGAACATATAAAATACATCTGTATCACACCTACGTCTGTGTGTATTTTTAACATGGATATTTACTATTAAAAAGAATTGAGTATTCTTTCTGCAAATCAGACACTGCTTTATGGTCAAATCATTAGAGCATCAAAAGGATAAATAGTGTTGCTGAAGGAGCACAGCGTTTATCAGAAGTCAATAAAATGTTAATGGTGCCTCCATAGGACCTCACGAGTGTCATTGAGTTGCCTGGGAAATTGACTTTATGTACACAATACTTGGGCTAACCTTTTTTTACAATAGCTTTTGTTCTCTGAAAAAAAAAGAATCATGTATGTCACAATAAGTTAGCTCCTCATTTTAAATCCTAAATATTTATTTGCATGACAAATTATTACTATTCCAAAGAAATCAATACAGCATGAGCATCAAAAAATATTTTTGATAACACATCTTTTATGTATTAAGGACTTAAATTTACCGTGATAGAAAAGGTGAATGAAGAAATATTTACTCTTAAGGAATACAACAAAGATCTCAGAGAAATAAATGCATAAAGTAAAATAATACTTTTTTCTCTAGTTTATTTACCCCTACTACCTCTATAACTAATACATCAAAATCAAATATCATTTGAGATTATACAAAAGCGCTTTAGAACTTGCTCACCACAAATGGTAGCTGTTTATTAAAATGTTAACAGTAGCTTTGACAAAACCACAGTCATGTTCCTCAGCAAAATCTTACCCCAGGAATTGTTGGGTGACTGTTTTATTGTTCAATAATTAGTCTTAGGAGTCCCAAGTGGCCTTTAACTTTTACCTTTCATAACTGATAATGAACCATAATAACAGGGAGATAACCAGTTCAATTTTGTAACATGTGTAAAATCCAACTTAATTTCCCAAATGAGCATTTTATAAATAATGAGTAGGAAAAATGCATAAAACAGAGGTGAACATTACTATTTCTGTTCTGGTATTCCCCTCTGCTTAAATGTTACTCCATACAATAAAAATGAAGTTATTATGTTCTACGAAGAGTAATGATGCTCAGTCTTGAATTCTTCCTGGGAAATTTCAAGGTAGAAGCACACTTATCTCCGTATCTTCCTCTTTATGTAGCATATTGCTTAAATTTGTACGTTGATAATTTTCTCAAAACAAAAAAATTCTTAATAACTTGTCCATTACATGTGTCCTTAATACTATGTAATATCATGTGCATTTAATGAAGAAATGCCGACTCCCACTTTTGAGGCTTGCTTGTTTGTGGGTGCAGTGGGAAGGGAATATGGTCAGGTTAATTAGAATCTCTGTATCAATGGCACATGGCCTTTTACTTTCAATACTCTACTAACAGTGACTTCAACCTAAAGGTTCAGATCATCAAAATAGAAAACAAGGCTGCGGAAAAGAAAAAATAAGATTTGGTTTATACTTTTAACATGCAAAAGCCTGCGGCATAGTCTAGTGTTTTGAAAGACAGTCACAATGGGGTTCACTTGGAAGTTGTTTTTAAGACAATGCGTATTTTTACTTTTTTTAAAAGATGTAGTCTCACTCTGTGGCCCAGCCTGGAGTGCAATGGGGGATCTTGGCTAACTCCATCCTCCGCCTTCCAAGTTCAAGCGATTCTCCTGCCTCAGCCTCCCAAATAGCTGGGATTACAGGCGCCTGCCACTATGTCTGGCTAATTTTTGTATTTTTAGTAGAGACGGGGTTTCACCATGTTGGTCAGGCTAGTCTCGAACTTCCTACCTCAGGTGATCTGCCTGCCTCAGCCTCCCAAAGTGCTGGATTACAGGCGTGAGCCACCGTGCCCAGCCGACAATGTGTATTTGAAGTGTACATGTTATGACTGTAAGAGATGGAAGGGTAGAAATTTATGTAGCAATGTGTATTGCATTAACTGTAGAGATGGTAGAGCTAAGAAAGTCTAAAAAACAAGCCTTGTTTTCTCAAGGTCATCCCTTCTTGACACTTTCATCTTCTGCTCCCTACTGCAGAATCCCAGACGCCTGTGCAGACTGCCTATTCTGTCAGACTTTTGGGGAGAATATACTAGTATTTCAGAAATAGCACATACAAGGATATAACAGCAATGTGTTTACTTGAGTTCTTTAAAAGCTCTTGGATGACTCTTTGACTGATGAAATGGCAGTCTATACAGATCCCCTGAGTATTGAATGCTAAAATTCAGCAGAAAGGGCGCACAAGAAATTTTCTCTGACCTCTGGTGTAACAGTAATGGCTGCCCCAGATGTTAGAATTACAAGTCACTTTGCTCCCAAGGGGTAGAGTTCTGTTCGGTTTATAGAGAGCTAGTCCCACAGGACTCTACTCAGCAGGAGATGCTGTCTGCTACATAATAGTTCTCAGTATTAAAGTGTACAATAACTACACCCTTTCTCATGGTACAGCTGTGTCCAAAGACACACGGACCTCTCCCCAATCTCTCTTTCCTTCCTTCTCTTTCTCTCTGTCTCTCTCTCTCTTACACACACACACACGCACACGCACACGCACATATACACACAAGCCTAAAGTACCTGCCAACTAATGATTAGCTAAAAATAAAGCAAACCTGCGCAATACAGATTTGGAAACATTAGGGCTGGAAATCATGTTGAGAAGGAACAGGAGGACAGGTTTTTTTTTTCTTCTTCTTCTTCTTCTTCTTTTGTGTGGGTTTTTTTGCCGTCTTTTTTTTTTTAACCTATGACAACTCGTTTTTAGCCCTTCGTCTTCTCTTTGCTATTGAATATAGCCTTGAGAAGCGTTGATTTCATTTTAGCCTCACTCCCCTGCTCCCGCCGCTTGCCCACACCCACAGCTGCCACTCCTGGGAGTGGGGACACTTCCCTTCTATTCCGCATCCCTGCAGACTCCCTTGCCACTCCTGAACATTATGTCAACCTCCCCACCTCCACGCTTCCTTACTTTAAAAAAGGTGCAAAGAAAGAGCTGTGTACTGTTTTTCTTTTTTTCCCAAACAAAGATAAAACCTGAGACTCGAAGCTTGCTCTCAGGAATCCTAAACACTTAGAGGCACGGACACTCTCACACCAGTCCAAGACTTCTGAGTTCGGTACACAGGGCTGGGGGCTGGACCGGCAAAATCGATTTGCCCATCAAGTTCACTTGGTCAGCCTGGGACCCGAGGCCAAGGTGAAGGGGCGACGACACCCAGGGCCCTGTCGCTTTTCCCTAGGGCCCCCAAACAGCGGCGCAGGGCTGAGATGCCCTCGCCCCCGGCCCCAGGCTTCGGAAGAGCCTGGCGCGGAGCAGGCGCCCTGGAGCGGGGTCTCGGGGGGTCCCCGGAACAGTCACGTGTTCTCGAGACGCCTTTAAACCCCCGCCCTCTCTTCCCACCGCCGCCTCCAGGTCCTGCTCCTGCTGCCGCCGCCGCCGCGGGGTGCAGAAGCCGTCGCGCAGGGCAGCGCTCCCGGGACCCCAGGGCCTGCATCCGTCGGGGCACCCCGAGGTACCGGCTTCCGCCCCTTACTGTCACCCCCTGCCGCGCCGGGTAGGCCTGCACCGAGGGGCCGTGCCGGGTCCCAGCGCGCGCTGCGAGTCCGCCCAGGTCTCTGGGAGTCCGCACCCCTGTCTCTGGTACCGGGGCGTTGTTGGGGGTCCCAAGAGGGCGGGGTAAGGAAGGTGACGGGAGCGCGGCTGGAAAAATGGGGATTAGGGTGGCGGATCAGGCAATTGTCAGGAGTGAAGAGACAGCGGAGAGGGTACTGGGCTGAATTCTTCATGCCGAGCAGGTCCCTCCAGTCTCCAACTCACCCGGGTGGAGCAGGAGCTGGCCGAACCCGGGTGGAGAGTGTAGGGGATCCACGGAGGAGCCTCCTGGGGAGGGGGCGGGGAATGGACGGACGCGCCCTGGGTGCAGCCAGGAAGGCGTCCGGAGCTGGGAACGGCAGCCCGAGGGGTGAACTGGGTCAGGGCTCAACCCTAGCGTGTCTCTGGCGAGGCCAGGGGCGCAGCCCGAGGGGCGCCACTCAGGCAGTCCAGCTGCGGTGAGCGGTCCAACACTGACCTGAGCCCTGCAGGCAGCTGCGCTCCGAGGTTTGCGCTCCTATTTGCAAGGTGGCTTCATATGACAAATGCAAGCAATAATAAACATCCATAGAACTCGAATTCCAGAAGCAGGAATTCTTTTTTCCAAGTTCACAGACCTTTAATTAATCTTTTAAGGGAACTGAGGCGTTGTGTTGGACCAAAGCCAAAATGATTTTACCAGCCGTGGAAAATAGCCTAAGGCTCTTTCAGCAGAATTTTGCAGTCCGAATGCAATTTTAGATTTCAGATTTCTCAAGGGAAGAGAAACTCTGCCGCTAGAATTTGGAAGGGAGGGTGGTGCATGCCTGTGTTTGTCAGCTGAGCAGAGCTGTATTTATCTTACCAGTTCAAATCGTGGCATATTATGGCTTTAAGAACAAACCACGGGAATATTTGAGAACATGGAATCATGCTCCTGTTCCAAGATCACAGCAAAATAGACAATAGTTGATATTTTATCATTGCAGGAGAAAAATAATTACATATATTTTATTCTTTTGTGCGATTGGCATCCTTTGTGGGAAGAATGATGTGTATTTTCATAAGGCAAGAAATTACTCGAACAAAGAAACCTTATTTAAATGTACAAGTCAGACTTTTAATATCCTTTGAATTCCCTGCAGTTCCTCCTATTATTTTTAAGAACTATCTACTACTGTCTTAAAATACTTAAAATCTATTCAGAAGGTTTCATTTGTCTAGATGTCAGATATAGAACAACTTATAAGAAAATTCCAATAAACCTTTAAGAAGACATTGCATATGTTGTCATAGTTTAATAATGAACTTTCATTTTTCACACTTTTTACTCAGAGATTAAAGTTCTGTGTTTCAGTATGAAAATTTCCATGGTGGGAGATACAACTAATATAAAAGAGAATAAGTAAAAATAGTAATTAGATATAACAAAAGTTTCATGCTGTCGATTTCAGATTTCTTAGCAAATAGTATTCCATGTGAAAATATTCTTTCTCTGGTTATATTTTATAGTTTCTATAGCAATCTGAGAAGGTTCACATATATCATTACTTTTATTATGGATAAAACATGTTGCATAAAAATGTACAGCACTTATAATAACACTTGTTGAAAAGTAGAGGATTATTAAACTTATTTGCATTTCCATTGTAGGTCTGCTCATTGTATTTTTCAGAAAAAGGAAGGGAAAGGGTAAGTTTAAGGCAAGAAATTGTGCTTGTTTGTTTGTGTTTTTATTTAAAGAGCATTCTTGTACCTTAGATTTTCGACTTAAATCTGATTGAACAAATTTTTCCTAATGTTTAAACTATCCCCTGGCTACCAGGAGGCACTTAAAAAAAAAAAAAAATCTGTATGTCCACACCCCCCACCCAACCGTCAGCATTTGCAATATTCATTATTTAGTTGTAAGAAGAAATTCTTCCTTCATTGGAGCAAAGAATCACCGAATGTTCATTTTGTGCACACTATATATTAGCTGTTATGTGTTTGCATGTTCATGGGGTAGATGGTGTGCTGTGGGACTAGAGGGAGAGCAGGAGATAGTTGACTACAGTCACACCAAAATGAAATGAATAAATGAATGTTGAATGAATGTATGAATGCTGGGACAATTTTTTAAATTTGCTAATCAATCTATCAGTAGCTACATCAAGTATTCATTATATTCAGCAACAGTACAAGTGTCCATGCTATAGTGAAAGAATATATTGCCGGCAGTCAGGAGGAAGCCATTCATTTATTAATTAATTCATCATCCTATTTGGGGCCTTTTATATCTCAGCAATCCACAGTTACTCAGAGTGCGAACTTGAATTAATCCATCCTAGAATATTCTTTGCATAGTAACTTGCATTAGTCATCTTTGTGCTTACAGCGCAGCAGACCACCTACCAGAATATATGTTCAATACATACTTCTTGGATGAATAAAAGAAGGAATAACTAGTCATTCTTAGCTATTCATTAATAAAAGGGGTCTACCCTTTAAAATTATATATAAATTATTCACTTTCTTAAAATTCTCAAATATTTTAAGGAATGAAACATCCTCAGTTTTTTCTCCAGCATCCAATGAATACTCAGGATGGCATTTCTTTCATCTTCTTACTAAGGAGATGTGGTTTTATAACTTAATGCATTCAATATTTTATGTGCATATATTTAAGATAAAAGTTTTAATAACAGACTGCACAGTTGTGGAATCTGATGTACTTCTTTTTTCATTGACATTTTTTAAATGTTGTAAATATACCTTGGAATTTTAGTTTCATGTTGCTTGTGTGATAGCCTTTATCAATGAAGATATCCAGATGAAAAATTTAAAGTGCTAAACTCTATTTATTGTCTATCTAGGTATCTCTTCCTCATTGCATTTTGGGGCCATTTAAAACATCCATAATTTCAATGGTTCCCTATATACATGTAAACATACATTTACACACATATATATGCACACACAAATATATAGTCATACTGTATCCGGAATTTTCCCACATTTCCAGGAGGATTCATTTCTGTTATTTTACAGCCAGGGAAATGAAACTGCTTTTCTAAAATGATTGGTAACGAATATTTACTTAGCATCCACTGTGTGTAATATGCTCTGTTAAACATTATTGCTGGAATAAAAATAAGACTTTTATCTCCATTAGAATCTAATAGAGAGTTCTAACCACATAGATTGGAAAAAATCTGAATTTTAAACTCAAAACCACATTGTTTCTATTACCACAAATTGTGCTGCATCTTCTCTTTCTTCAAAAAATTCTGGACAGCAATTTTATGCTAAATAAGTATCATCCACAGTTACATGTTTCAAAAAAGCACAAAGCCATTGTAGAAGGATCTGTCCAATCTCTCTCTTATTCTTGCATGGGTAATACAAGGAAAGGTCATCAGTAACAACTGACCTGCCACAAAGTTAGAAGAAAAAGATTGACTCAAGAAAGTAAGTAAAGAGAAGAGCAACTAAGTAGGATTGCTGTTACAAACAGCCTGTACACATTATGAGTATAAATAGGATCATAAATAAGCTGAATTGAGCCAGGGGGACATCAGAACTCAGGAAATTAGGCAAAAGCACCAGTCAAGGCTGTTTTGATTAGAAGCCTGCTGACCTATCCACAGTAGTTGGTGAGAGGCTATTGACTGGGAATATGACGAATAATATGATTCAGTAGGTCATGTGAGTCACTTTTGTATCAGGTATTCTTTTTCATTGAGGCAATATCAACGTATATTGTTGGCTAGGGTCTGAGAATGAATGAATACAATCCTGAGTCTTTGAATTAACTTACCCTTCAAAAGGATGTAGTTAGATTCCAGAAAGTAATTTGGTCAACATAAAATCACTTGTAGAAGTTGTGAAAATCTTGTAACTTTTCTCATACCACAACAATGATTCTGTCATCTTGTTTGAAACTTACTATGTAAAAAACTGAAGTTAAACTTATTTGTAATGAATGTATGTACACAATAGTATTTGCTGTTTAGAAATTTATTGAACCAGAGCCTGTAGGTCTCTCACAAATTAGAGATAACAGTCTTTACTATTAATTTAAATAGTTAATTTTTTGTAGTTTTAGTATAATTATTCAATTATGGATCTAGAAATAAGTAGATAAACATACATTGATAGGTAACAAAAATGCTTTTCTAAATACATATATATCACAATTTCTATGAAAATACATTTATTGGAATTAATTTGCTTTCTGGTTTGTTTTCCGTAGGAAATTCTTGTTAAAAAAAGGCGGGGGGGAAGTGGCGGAGCACAGTGGCTCATGTCTATAATCCCAACACTTTCGGAGGCCAAGGTGGGAGGATTACTTGAGGCCAGGAGTAGAGACCAGCTTGGGCAACATAGCAAGACCCCATCTCTACAAAAAATAGAAAGATTAGCCATTTGTAGTGGCAAGTGCCTGTAGTCCCAGCTGCTTGGGAGGCAGAGATAAGAGGATTGCTTGAGCCCAGGTGTTCAAGGTTACAATGAGCTATGATTGCACTACTGCACTCCAGCGTTGGCAACAGAATGAGACCCTGTTTCTAAGAAAAATAAAAAAGTTTTTTAAAAAATGAAAGTGCTTATTTTTTTTTAAAGGAGAGGAGGGGTTCTTTTTGCCTTTTATTGATATGTTTTAGGCAATTTAGTGCTTCATCAGGCACTACCATCAAAAATATAATATGTAGAGGTGAATACATAATGCCATTGAGGTATGACATTAATTTTATTTGAAATGAAAAAACTTATGGGGAGTTATATTAATGTCACTTCTACATTTATATTGAAGATATAATGTTTTCCTTAAACAACGAATTCATTAATTTGTTTGTAAGCCAAAATCTATACGCAATTTTAAAATTCATAAATGGGTCAAATTTGTTTGTTTGTTTAAAAAAAAAAAAAAAACACTTATAGCACTACTAGTCCGTCAGTGGTTGTCCTAATCAGAGATAATCTGGCATATCTCAAAAGACTGAGGATTGGTCACAGAAGGATTTCGTCATCCAGCATTGTGTTCACACAGGCAACAGTACAGCTTGATAAACACATTTAATGAGTGCCTACTATATGCATCTAGGTCACAAGCTAGTGACGCTAAACTCAAGCAGTTTAAATTTGAACATCGTGTGAACTAGGTGATATTTATTTCTAGAGTTTTGTTTGAATTTTTTATTCTCTCATAAACATTTATTTGAAACCTGCGGTGGTAAAGTTACCATGCCATGTATTGGGATGGAAACCAAAGTGAATAAGAGACAGCTTCTGCTTTTCCACTGCTTGTAAATCAACAAGGTAGACTGGTAGGCATTATGATGCTATGAAAGCAGATTACGATATGCAGCATTAGACAACTGTAGACAGAATGTAGCAGGAGTTCTGAAGAGGAGGTCATGTGCAGCTGAGTTGACCAGGACAGGTGACCTTTAAGTTTGGCCTAGACTGAGATGGAAATGAAAGGAATTTTTAAGGTAAGATTCTGTGACTAAACTATGCACCAGTTATCTTGACTTGGAGAATAATACTAATGAGAAAGTGTAAATTATGTATCTTGAAGTTCTTGTCTACATTTGCCTTTTTCTTTCCTTACATTATTTACTACATAAATTTTAAAAATACAATCTACTTCCTTAACACAAGTTAATACATCTTAGAAGTATTGATAAAATTAAACTTACTGTAATCATTATTGGCTGATACTTGCACTGCACTTGGAACCAGTTAAAGATTTCATAAACTTTCTTAGGAGATTAATAAGGTCATGGAAGCTTATTGTAAAATTTAGTTTCCCTCTGAATAGATTAATTTAAAGGAGTCATGTAATTTCTTTTAGATTTCTAACAGATGTCTTTTTATTCCAGGCAGGACTATAATATGGATTTAGAGCTCAATGAGTATTATAACAAGACACTTGCCACAGAGAATAATACTGCTGCCACTCGGAATTCTGATTTCCCAGTCTGGGATGACTATAAAAGCAGTGTAGATGACTTACAGTATTTTCTGATTGGGCTCTACACATTTGTAAGTCTTCTTGGCTTTATGGGGAATCTACTTATTTTAATGGCTCTCATGAAAAAGCGTAATCAGAAGACTACGGTAAACTTCCTCATAGGAAATCTGGCCTTTTCTGATATCTTGGTTGTGCTGTTTTGCTCACCTTTCACGCTGACCTCTGTCCTGCTAGATCAGTGGATGTTTGGCAAAGTCATGTGCCATATTATGCCTTTTCTTCAATGTGTGTCAGTTTTGGTTTCAACTTTAATTTTGATATCAATTGCCATTGTCAGGTATCATATGATAAAACATCCTATATCTAATAATTTAACAGCAAACCATGGCTATTTTCTGATAGCTACCGTCTGGACACTAGGTTTTGCAATTTGTTCTCCCCTTCCAGTGTTTCACAGTCTTGTGGAACTTCAGGAAACATTTGGTTCAGCATTGCTGAGCAGCAGGTATTTATGTGTTGAGTCCTGGCCATCTGATTCATACAGAATTGCCTTTACTATCTCTTTATTGCTAGTTCAGTATATTTTGCCCTTAGTTTGTCTTACTGTAAGTCACACCAGTGTCTGCAGAAGTATAAGCTGTGGATTGTCCAACAAAGAAAACAGACTTGAAGAAAATGAGATGATCAACTTAACTCTTCATCCATCCAAAAAGGGTGGGCCTCAGGTGAAACTCTCTGGCAGCCACAAATGGAGTTATTCATTCATCAAAAAACACAGAAGAAGATATAGTAAGAAGACAGCATGTGTGTTACCTGCTCCAGAAAGACCTTCTCAAGAGACCCACTCCAGAATACTTCCAGAAGACTTTGGCTCTGTAAGAAGTCAGCTCTCTTCATCCAGTAAGTTCATACCAAGGGTCCCCACTTGCTTTGAGATAAAACCTGAAGATAATTCAGATGTTCATGAACTGAGAGTAAAACGTTCTGTTACAAGAATAAAAAAGAGATCTCGAAGTGTTTTCTACAGACTGACCATACTGATATTAGTATTTGCTGTTAGTTGGATGCCACTACACCTTTTCCATGTGGTAACTGATTTCAATGACAATCTTATTTCAAATAGGCATTTCAAGTTGGTGTATTGCATTTGTCATTTGTTGGGCATGATGTCCTGTTGTCTTAATCCAATTCTATATGGATTTCTTAATAATGGGATTAAAGCTGATTTAATGTCCCTTATACACTGTCTTCATTTGTAATAATTCTCACTGTTTATCAAGGAAAGAACAAATGTTGATGTCATATAAAATATATTTATAATAACTATTTATGTATAATAAATATAAATTCTGTTAACATGGAATTTAATTTATGTGAAAGAGTTCTGGATTTGAATATCAGTTCATAATATATGGAAGACAATTTTATGTGTTGTAATAGGATTAATTTATTTAGTTGTGCAGCCAGTGTCAATCCAATGTATAATTTCATTTTAGAAAGTAGTTGTATTACCTTTCACTTCCACCTTGTCTTATAAACAAATGAATTTTATTTTTTGTTGAAACTAAAAGTTATATCTAACCAGTATTTTTGTCCAAAAACATAATAGGAAAAAAATTTCTTGAGGAATTTTTCATTTCAAACTTGAAGAATATCTACCAGCTATCTATATTCATTTCTACTCCACAGGCTTCTTAATGTTTAGTTTGCGAGTACAGAAAAAAGTTAGTATGCCTGGAAAATCATAAGTAAATGACAGATGTATGCCCAAATTATGAATATAAACATTAACTACAGTTTTGGAAGTCCTATAGGAAAATGCTGTTCCCTGTTAAGAATTGGTCAAATTGTCAATTTCACTTCACTGTCCTAGTAATACATTAGTAATTTACCAAATAAAGAATTTTAATTCCTTTCCAGACTCATTATACAACATTGAACACTACCAATAAAAGTTGTTTTCATATATATCTTTTCTATTCTAAAATGTGAAGTCTAAATGGCATCTGTATTTCCAGCTGTTAAATAATTTTAAAGAATATTTTAAATGTGTACAGATAATTATGCTTTTGGCTAACATATAGAATGATTAATACACTTTATACTATTTCAATACTGTAGTCTCATATGCTGTCTTATTAAATTGAGGTCAGTCTTTTCAATTGTTGAAACTTTATTTTAACCAGTCTTTTAAAGAACTAAGTCTCCGAAAAAAAATGGAGTGTTTGCATATATGATTCAGATGTGCATTATAACACTGACGTCTTCAGTACCTATAACTGATTTAAGTGTTTCCTGTTCTTAATAAGGGAAATAGTGAGACAAAACAAACAAAAACCCTTTAAGTTTGCAAGTAAGAAGCCATGCTGGTAAGTATTCAATCAACTAAAAATCCAAAATCCCTATGGGGGCATTGTTTATGCCCTCCTTCCCTAGATGATGTCCACACACACAGGAAGCTAATGTGATTTCTTGCCATGGGGAAAATAGTGCTGGTCCACAAAATATCCTCGGCTGGTTCCTGCTGAACTCCAGTTGAGGCATGATAATCTTGACTTGTCTCTGTGTTACATCAGGCTCTACTGCACCATGTATGGTCTGTTCTCAACAAAGTGAAGGCCTGAGAATCCAGCTCCAGAATCTCCAACCCCTGTTGACATGGTAGGACTGATACTCTTATTGACTTAAACTGTCATTGCTTGAGTGTCAGCCATATCCTCTGTTTTGTTCCAAGCTAAGGCTGTTTACTCTGTGGAGTCTTGCTATGCAGTCAATGACATTGCCCCTTGCTAAACCTGGAAGCTACTGGAGAACTTTATGTTCATCAGTGGAACTCCACAGGAACTTATGAAACTCTACCCCGCACATAGAATGAGGCAACTTGGGCTTACTCAGGCCTTCTCTCTGCTCAGATGTGATAAGCTGCCATATCGACTCAGTTGTGTCCATTCCACTTTGGCACAATAGCACCCTGCTTCTCAGTCCTTTTTAAGACTTTCAAATATAAATCTGGTTACAAGCCCTGTCTGCTTTTAGCTTCCCTCTAATCTTTCTAGTGCTATATGAGTGTTTTTTCCTAGTTTTTATATTATAGCAGATGGAAAAGGTGAAAAACCTTTGTTCACTTTTGCTTTTCTCTTTTTTCCTTTTTCCTTTTTATTCTAAGAGATTCTACTTTTTTCCGCCTAGTAAGAATGTCTCTCATGAATATCATCCCTTTTCTCTGCACTGTGACATAGTAGATCAAGGTTTGCTTTTGGAAGAGAGGATTTTATGATCAAGACTTTTTCCTCCCTCGGTCTCACCATGCACAAAGAAAGAAGGGGCAGGGGAGTAATCTGATGACTGACCTCTTGTTTAAAAGCATTTGGCATTTGCACTTTCACTAGCACAATTAATTTCAAGGTTTGAGGTTAGTGTCTGGAGGGAGAAAAATCTCACTGATAAGAGCTAATATAAATGCATAGGGAGATGTTTTATCCTGTTAGAAAAACTTACATTAGCAAATGTACAATAGTTGTCAAACTTCACAGGTTTTATGGCTGTTTTGATAGATGAGTTTAGTTAAGCTGGATAAACTAATTTGGGGCTCTTAAACTATTGAACTCAAGGGAAGAAATTTATCTTTCCTAAATAGAAATAACTGAATGTTCTTAATAATTGAAAGTTGAGAATTTTGGATGGGTTGGCGGACAGGTCGTTAAGATTGGGATTAATGGTTTTAGAAGATTATTATAAATAATGATTATTTTATAGACACTTGCTTAGTGAGTTAAACAATTTATGTTCACTCAACTCTCCATTGCTCAAAGACTGATTATCTAACCTTTTTCCTATTCTCTCCTGGTGTCTGACTTGATTACTCATTCAATAGCATCTGCACAGAAGCACGGCTAGGGGAAATGATTTGAAATGATAAACAGTCAACCTCATTACTTTTCCGCAATTATGTAGAAATATTTAATTCAGGAAGAGATGTTAAATTGGGTTTTAGTGGTTATTTAAATTATTCCTGACCGGACATGGTGGAGCACGCCTGTAATCCCAGCGTTTTAGGAGGCCAAGGTGAGACAATTGCTTGAGCCAAGGAGTTCAAGACTAGCCTGGGCAACAGAGGGAGACCCTGTTTCTACAGAAATTTTAAAAGTTAGCTGGGTGTGGTAGTGCATGCCTGTAGTACTAGCTGCTCAGGAGGTGTAGGCGTAAAGATTGCTTGAGCCCAGGAGTTAGAGGCTGCAGTGAGCTATAATCATGTCACTGTACTCCAGCCTGGGGAACAAAACAAGACCCTGTCTCAAAAAAATAAAAATTATTCCTGCCACCTATATTGCCCATTACTGTGAATAATAAAACACTAGATTTGAAAAAAAAAAGCTGGCGAGAGCACGAAGAGCAACTAAATTAAATGATAAGAAATGTGTATTTGGATTATTTTAATTAACAGGTATCTACTAAATATCTAGTGTGTACTAAGAACTCTTTTAGATGACAGACCAAAAAGATCCCTACTCATTTGGTGCTTGCCTTCTGGAAGGTGGGGAGCCAGTGGCAGGAGGTGAACAAGCAATAGCAATAAGGGCAATAAAAATGAGGTACAAGGTAGTGGTACACTATATAGACACATATATTGTTTCCAAAGTCTACCAAAACAAAGCACCACAAACTGGGTGGCTTAAAACAACAGACATTTGTTGTCTCACAGTTCTAGAGACTACAAGTCTGAAATCAGTGTGTCTGCAGGACCATGCTCCATCTGAAACCTGAAGGAGAGCACTTCCTTGCCCTTTTCTGGCTTCTGTGGCTAGCTGGCAATCTTCGGTGTTCTTTCGGAGCTGCATAACTCCACCTTCTGCCTTGTTATATCTTGTCATATGATGTTCTCCCTGTGTCTCTGTGTTCTAGTATCTCTCTTCTTAGAAAGACACCAATTGTATTTGATTTCTCCCTAAGCCCACCTACACTTTAGTACAACATCGTCTTAGTGGAGCTAATAATATCTGCCATGAATTTATTTTCAAATAAGTTCACATTCTGAGGTTTTGGAGACTAATATTTCAGTACTGTTTTAGGCAGGAGGACAGTTCAACCCATAACAGTATATTAATGATTGGAACCTTTAATACAATACAGGGCAGGGTCAGAAGTCATGTGCATGTGGCATGACGGAAAAAAAGAGCTGGATGTAACTTCAAATGGGATGGCTCCATACCTTCATTGAGAAGATGACTTTTGTGCAAAGACTTGAAAGAAGCGGGGAAGTGAGCTGACTATCAGGGAAAAGAGGACTCCAGGCAACTGGTACAGTCAGTGCAAAGGCTTTGAATCAGGAGCACACTTTGAGTGTCAAAGGAACAGGAAGTATTTACTGTAACAGAAGTGCAACAGACAGAAACGAGATAAGGAGCTGATTCAAGGACAGATCTTACAGGTCCTTGTAGGTATTTGTAAGGATGTCGAATTTCACTTTTGGTGAAATGAGGAGCTATTGTGGATATTGATCAGAGAGAAGAGACAACCTGTCTTACACTAAAATAATAGCTCTAGTTATGAAAATAGACCGTGTTCCTCTGACTTAATTTGTGATATTCGCCACCATGGATGTTTAATGCTGATAGATATGTTAGTTCACTGGGGGTTGCAAAAATGGTGATGTTTTAATTCCATCATTTCTTTCACATTTATTAGATTAAATACATTAATAAAAAGAACTTTCTTGTATCTATCATTTGGTTATGCAATGTTACAGTTCTTTTAGGAAAGACAGAACAAAAGTTTGATGCTATCTTTTTATTCTCTAATAGTTAGAAAGTGATCGACTCATGGATGTAAACACATTTGACTGGCTTTGATTCATCGTGTTTTTATCATGATCGAAGCTCAAATAGTTCCATCTTTGGCCAGTAGGAACCCTTGATGTTGCATCCAGGTCATTATATTTTTTTGGTTCAATATTTATAACTTTTATCTGTGGGACAGTCAGATCCAGCAGTAGCTACTTAATCACAACAGAAGAAGGAGTCCATGACGTCCATTCTAAACCAGAAATGATCACGGGAAAATCCAAAAGAATGAGAGTTTCTCAACTACGAGATTTTAGGTTTCTCTCTTTTTCTCTCAGTAGGTTTCCTAAAGGGGTTGAACTTCAAGAGCTAGTTAGCATAATATTGAACCTAGATAATCCTGAACACTTTCAGTAATTTTACTGTATTACATATAATTTGTTTCAAAGTCAGGCTAATGCAACAGATGCAGTTCAATGTAAATTAGATACATTCTCAAAAGTGTTAAAAGCCAAAACTGTTTAGTAGTGTATATTCAGGAAAATAACTTTTCCAGGTTAGGTGGTGGCCAGTCTGACCCTGATTAATCTCCAATTCACCATAGAATTGTTTGTGAGGATGGTGATAAAAAGGATGACAAGGTATTATAACTATATTCTTGTACATTTTCCATGAAAATTCTTGTTCCTAATATTACATCCTAAATACAGGTTTATAATCCTTTATAAATCATTACTGATCTGACCTGAACTCATAAGAGGCTATAATTAGCCTCATCTTCATTTATCCC